TGGAGAATATTAGGAGTGGTGATTTATTGCTCTCTTTATTACACACTGTTGATAAGTGGCCTCTTAAGCGAACTATATATATTTCTGTCACTTTATTTCATATCCCTCTCCCAAAATAAATAAATGAACAAGAAAATGTGTAAAAATGAGAATGAAAAAACACTTATCATTTTTAGTTTAGTCATCTTCCACTAATAAGTCTCCTGTTAGAACATTACTTAGCAATTTGAAATATTAATAGGTTGTTTTTTCATTTTCCCATTATCCAAATTGCCCGTGAAGAGTGACATCAATAGGACAGGAGGGGTTGAGTGTCAGAGATACAAGTAAAATCCACCCGCAGAGACACAACATATAGAGAGAGAGAGAGAGAGAGAGAGAGAGAGAGAGAGATGGGCATTGGATTTGCTACAAACAGTATTCCTACAAGAATATAGGACTTCATTGGAAATATTATTGAAAATTAGGATTTGGTTGTCCATAATAGTTTTCAGCGGTGCTTGTTTAGGTCGTAAAATTGAGTTCCCTGGTAATTTTCCCAATACCTTGACAAAATATTTGTATAATTATCATTTTGGTCACGCAATAAACTTGGAATGACAGTTCTATTCCAATAACATGCAGGTGAAACCAAGATAGATTTTGACAAATGTATTGCGACTCCTTCCATGATGGAACATGTGAAAAAGGTTTTGCAAATTTAAAATTTCACATTGTGCTGTTAGCATTTAATTATCCGTTTATCTTATATTTTCTATTTCACAGTTATCAAAAAATCTGAAGCAATTGATGCCAGATGCTAAGGTCAGTTGTGTCCTTATGTTATCAATTTCATAGTTCCTGGAGGTTGCAAAGCGGCAATAATGTCTCAAAAACATCTCATATTTATGCAGAAAGGTACTGTGACCAATGACATATCTAAGACAGTGAAAGATGCGAAAGCACAAAGTATAGTTTTTAAGAAAGACAAAACTGCAATTGTGCATGTAGGACTAGGGAAGGTACGGTTACTTTGGTCCTGTATTCCTGTTTAATTTTTACCATCTTTTATGGATGACTCTTGTATCTGATAATGATTCTCTGCTTATAGGTTAGTTATTCAGAGGAAGCTTTACGATAAAATGTAGGCGCTTTTGTGAATGCTCTCTTGCTTGCAAAACCTGCCGGTTTAAAGAAGAGTAAGTGGTATCCATTCTGTCTTAGCAAAATCGTCACGTTTGGGTAAAATGAGATTGTGGTTAATAATGGAAATGAAATAACAAAGAGGTTTGAGTCCTTGGAACAAGATGGTGGAACTTGTATGAATTACAAGTGGGTTACAAGATTGGAGTTTTGAGGCAAAAAAAAAAAAGGATATGGGCGAAGATATTAACTTGAGTTGGACGTAGGACTTGTCAAACTCTGTCGAAGATTGAAAAAATATGATATTATCTCCACTTGATTTACATTAATGAAATGAATGTATTGGTTTTTTCTAGTTCTTGGACAGTTTTTTACTAGCCTTATTTGCAGGTTCCGAGTATGCTGGGTATGTTGACTCCTTCCATATTTGCAGCACGGTGAGCTTATAAATCCCTTTTTTTTGGGTGGTATAAATAATTCACCTAAATGAGCTGCAGCATTACAGTAAAACTTTGTTTTGATTTAAAGACAAAGTCGTTCTTTACATGTAGGCTCTTTATTGCCTTTGCACTTTCGACTTTTTGCTTAATGTAATAAACCTTTTTGTGTACACG